TCGCAATCGCATGTCCGAAGAGCGGGGATGGGAGCTAATGTGGTTGGCCACGGGTCTGTTCGCCTGCTCGCAAGGCTTGCTGAAGGAGTTGTCGCTGTTCCTGCGCACAAGGCGGCATCCAATCTCGCAGGACTCTATTCATCGCCTGCAGAAGACCATACGCCATGGACAACGCAAATATCCACCGCATCAAGTGGAAGTGGAGGCTATACAGCACAAGACAACGCAAATCTTCCACAAGGTCTACTTTCCCGACGACACGGACGAAGCCTTCGAGGTGGACAGCTCCACTCGAGCCAAGGATTTCTGCAACAACATCTCGCAGCGTCTTTCGCTGCGCACCAGCGAGGGCTTTTCTCTGTTTGTGAAGATTGCCGACAAGGTGATCTCTGTGCCGGAGGGCGACTTCTTCTTTGACTTTGTGCGCCATCTGACCGACTGGATAAAGAAGGCGCGACCTATCCGCGACGGTGCCAATCCCCAGTTTACCTATCAGGTGTTCTTCATGAAGAAATTGTGGACGAACACAGTGCCAGGCAAGGATCGCAATGCAGATCTTATATTCCACTATCACCAGGAGCTACCCAAGCTGTTACGCGGCTATCACAAGTGCTCCAGGGAGGAGGCAGCCAAGCTGGCTGCTTTAGTCTTCCGCGTACGATTTGGCGAAAATAAAACAGAACTGCAGGCCATACCGTAAGTGGCAGGGAGGGATGTTTTTATACTTATAAAATCATATATTAATAATTTATTTTTATTGCAGACAAATGCTGAGAGAACTTGTTCCATCGGATATTATGAAAATGCAGAGCAACAATGAATGGAAGCGTTCGATTGTGGCCTCGTATAATCAGGATGGTGGAATGACCTCAGAGGATGCCAAGGTGGCCTTCTTGAAGATTGTCTACAGGTAATGTTTTAGACTAGAAATTGTTAAAAAATATAGATATATATAATTGTCTTACCCGAACAGATGGCCCACGTTTGGTTCTGCCTTCTTTGAGGTGAAACAAACCACCGAACCGAATTATCCGGAAATGTTGCTTATAGCAATCAACAAACACGGCGTGAGTCTCATACATCCCGTGAACAAGGTGAATCTATTGCTATAGATACCCAATAGTTGCTTGTATTTATATATTTATTCGCTTTCTAGGATATCCTTATCACGCATCCCTTTACACGCATCTCGAACTGGTCGTCCGGCAATACGTACTTCCACATGACTATTGGCAATCTGGTGCGAGGCTCTAAGCTGCTCTGCGAAACGTCGCTGGGCTACAAGATGGACGATCTGTTGACCTCGTACATATCGCTGATGCTGACGAACATGAATAAGAATCGAACAATACGAGCCAACTAGTAAAAAGCGTACACACAGCAAATATTTATAATAATTATAAATGATAAATTGCAATAACTTATACACATACCTTAGTACTCTCTAGCTCTAAGTAAGTACTCCCCCACCAACACCCATGCATTTTAACTACCCCTACCCATTCCTACCACCCACACTCAGAATTCATTCCACGCTTTGCTATCAAAATCAACTTTTGTCCAATATTTATACCCGGAACTCGAAGAGTAAATAGGGTATATTGTATTTGTGGGAAAGTGGATGTATGTAACGAAGAGAAGGAAACTATATAGCTACATATGTAGATGTAGCCATGCCTGTCTGTCCGTCCGTCTTGTTGAGCGCTTGGACCTCAGAGACTATAAAAGATAGAGCCACAAATTTGTGCATCCAGATGGCTGCATGCTCACACTGTTACAAGTGTATTTCAAAATTTCCCGCCTCGCCCCCGCAAAGGCTAAAAATCAGCATATTCACATTTTTGAAGATTAAAGAAAATGAAACTAATAACGACATTCCGTAGGAAAGGACTATATCTTTCCGATCACCGAATTGGAATCAGATTGGATCATTATTATAGCCAGAATGAAGAAATTAATTTGCTGTGGCTTCATCCACCCTTTACAGCAGCTCTGCGTATTCTTGCTTATTGTTGTTATGCTTTCTCGCTCGCACACTCTGCCTCATGCAGTGTGCGTTACTGGGGGCGGGTGGCGAGCTAAAAATGGCTTGTTGTTGTGAGAAATGATGTAGATGTAGATGAACCATGTAGAAAAAATGTAAAATGTAAAGTTCGAACAAATCAAAAGATTACATATGACTGAGTACCGGGTATAAAAGTTGTGACGCGTATGAAGCGTCTCACAAGCGTTCCTACTCGTTTTTGTTTCGGTTTTACTACGAGTTTTTGATTATTTCATTCATTTTGCAACACAATTGCTTTAGGCAAATTCTTATGACACATTCCACATTTTACTTAAATTATTGAATACCTGTGGACTATAGCATTTGTATCTTCGCATTTTGCATCTATCTCTTTTGTATATCTTAAATACATATCTGTACTGAAGACGTTTTGTATCAAATACATAGAAATGTTCAACTATTTAATAAATTATATACACATTAAATTTACTTTTTTCTATATTTTGATGTGGGCTGCGTTTAAGGGATTTATCAGTCATAGCTCCTATAACACTGCTCCAAAAAAATCGAACGTTTGTTAAAAAATAAAATGATCATCAAACCATTTCTAAGCCCTATATCTTTCAGAAAATTAAGTTTGGATCGAAGCGGCAAAATCGTGTAGAGTAGTGTAACATTGCTGCACTGAAGAGCATCAATAAGGGATATATTCAATATCCAATATTATTTGCTTATTGACATCTCTTAAATGGATTATTAACGAGAAGGTACGTGTGAGACGCTTCTTACTCGTCACATATGTACCTTAGCGGTTATTTGTCAAATTTCAGAGGAACGGCAGAGACAGAGACCGCATAATGCAGAAGCAGAGTGTTTATCCACTGGAAATTAATTTCTTCATTGTGGCTATAATAATGAATTTGGTGATCTGATAGATATGGTCATTCCCTACGGGGGGGCGTGGCTCATTGTTGAAACTCACTTGTAACAGTGTGAGCATACAGAAGTCTGGATGGAATTTGGTGGCTCTAGCTCTTATAGTATCTGAGTACTAGGTGCTCATCAGGACGGACAGACAGACATGGCTCTATCGACAAAAATATCGGCACAAGTACAATATACCCTATTTACTCTTCGAGTACCGGGTAAAAAAAGTACAAGGTTTTTAGCATGCGTTAAATTCGATTCAGATTATAGTTCAATAGCATTCACTATGAATTAAAATATTTAAGCAATTGGGTATTTAATCGATTGCCACCATACCTTCAAAGATGGTGGGCTGGGTGTGTTGCCCAAAAGCAAAATTGAGTTTCAGTGCTTGGGAAAAATGTTCTTGCAACGATATAAAAGATCTTAAGGAGTCTATGTGGAAAGGATTTTGAAGAACCTTTTTCCTGAATTTGAACTATTTGAAATCTTCTTAAAACTTAAAGGAGTCGAAGATGCTTGACTATCCATATTGGTCTATAATTCTTCTAAAATCTTCTAAAAACAAAATCATGTTTAACATAAAGAATTATGAAAGAAATCCTACTATTTAATTGCAGAATACCTACCTATAACCGCCAACACAGACTAATTCAGTCCTCCTCCTTTTTATTTTTCAATGTCACTTTGAATCAATAAACTTGAAACAGGAATTGTATTTTCCATATATTAAACAACAAAAAAAACGGACAACACAGCACTTAGCAGTATATGTATATACGAGGACTCTGGTATGTATGTATATTTTGTAGGTCTACTATATACATATTAGGATGGACTTGCATGTGTACTTCCCCTGATTGGTCTTGGCTGGGCTCCCACGCAACCGAATTCCCACGAGTTGTATTTTGCGGAGAATTTAAATTTTTCCACACAGCGTGTGAAAAACGGCAGCAGTCAACGGGGAGGCGGCAAATCAAGACGGGGATAGACTTAGATTTCTTCGAGATAATTAACTACGTTTTTTTTAGATGTCGAGCAGTCCTGAGAACTTTTAGAAATTGTTTTCTTCCCCCTTTCTAGCTAAGAGACCGACCGCAATCAAGGCACCTTCGCCCCCAACTCTCCAACCAGACTGACGGTAGTACACGGAGGTGGGGTCGGCCTCATGGAAATGTTCATTAAAAATTCCAAACTAATTTCATATTCAGCTTCTTATAAGACAACGCGCGACCTTAAGAAGTTGCAGTAGCAATTACAAAACTTGAGACACATTTTGGTGGTGGTTTTTCCATCATCATCATCTTCGTCAGCCACATCACGTGACGAGCGAGTTTGCTGTTTGAGTCTTTTGTTTTCCCATCAAATAAGTGCAGCGACTCTTAGGGGTTGACCTGCTTGGCTGCCTCTGGCACTGCCGCTCCGATAAGAAATTTTGTCTCCCAACTTCAGAGATTAGTTTTTAGTGCCGCTCTATCCGACAATCCCAAGCGGAAGTAAGCGATATTTAATTTAAAACTGCGAATCTTAATTTGTAAATCTGTAAAGAGCAACAACAATAAAATGCATAAATATTCAACAAAAGGCAGTAAAAGTTCTCACAGCAGCGGCAGTGGCAGCAACAGCAGTAGCGTAAGACCCTACTTTTTGGGCTGTGCGAAAACACGGCTCCTTAACGTTGGGTAAAAACGGAAACAATAGTGTTATATATACAGACACAGGCACAGACACAAGTTTCTTGACTTGGCATTCAGCGATTTCAGACCAAACTGTAATTAAAGTGAAGTTCGTAAGAAGGGGCAAGAGTAGGAGAAGGGCCATGCCATCGTGGGAAGAGGGGCACTTGTTTTGTTTAAAAATATTCACACGATATCTGGTCATATTCCCACAGCAATTTACCCTGCCCTCCTCCAGCACCCCACCCAAAACACTCCTCAGGGCGACCATCCAATAAAAATTGGTAGACTAGAATAATTTTAAATCATGGTAAATCATAAATGTATAATCTGACGACATGCTTTGCTTTTTCTTTTGTCATAATTTCGGTCTTTCGATCTTGTTTTTTTAGTTTTATTATTGTTGTCTGGACTTAAAAACAAATCGTTTTTATCTATATTTTTATATGGTACAAAAAATAATATCGCGGATCTTTGATCGTTGAGAGGTTCCAAAGATATGGGCCAAAGAAATCCAGAAATGTCACCAAATTGTATATATACAGACAATATCCCTACAGGAATGTATTTTGTATTTGTATATGGGATTTTATTAATGAAATGTTTTTTTGTGTTCATGATTTTTAAAGGAATTTTATATATTCTGTTTGTGGGTGATTTCTTTTCCATTTCTTTGCAAATTCACAAGAATAAAAGTGTTAAAAAATATTTGCAACCGCTGCCAAAAAAATCTGCTATATACTTATACAAAAATGTATATTTAACTAGAATTACAACTGTATATATATTCTATACAAATATATATACATATATGTATATCATATGCGTGTGTCGTGGTGTCAGTGTGTGAGCTCTTTCGAGTTACATATATACAAATTTTTCTTTATGTATTCCATCTACACATCTATTGGTTGCGTACTAGCACTAATTGTAGGATGATTTTAAATAGTAGGTGTCACTAGAGAGGAGGAATTTCTGTTTGTTTGTTCGAGACGCGTCATGAGAGGGGAGAAATTAGAATTAGAAAAATAGTCAATCTACAAACTAAGGCGTCTAATGGAAACTATAAAAAACTTAGCAGACATAAATGTAAGATGCAATTGTCCTGCACTCAGGACAAGCCGCTACCATGACTATTCCATTGCACTTCTGAGATGGAGGGCAGCGCCTGATGCTGCTGTGGCTGTTGTTGCTCCTGCTGTTGCAAGCTGCCACCTGCCGGTGAGCCCGAGTTATTGTTGTTGCTGATGTTCGAGATGTTGTTATTGTTGTTGTGCCTTGTCCGCATCACATCCTCAGCCTGGGTATTGCAATGCGGCCGCGGCCCCGGCTCTGGGGTATACGTGAATGTCAGGCCCGTGGCATAGATAATGCCATCGTTGCGCACCAGCGAAATGGGCACCTGTGTGGGCTGTCGTACCTATCAAAATCATAGTTATAGATAGCGATTCAAATGGTAGATAGACTATTTCCACGCAGACACTCACCCAAAGCCATTCGCCGCGAAAAAGTGATATTTCCGGCACCACACAGAGCAGCGTCTCCGTACAGCGATACATGGTCTCGGCCTCCACATCACCGAACCACACCTGCAGATGGGGCGTAAAGTTGTCGCCGCTCAGCTCCAGCATGGCCACATCGCCGCCACCATTAAGATTAAGGGAATTTACAATGGGCACAGGTGTGACTGGAGAACTTAAAGAAGAAAACGTCAAATAAAATCAAGCCGTGACAGAGAAGAGAAGCTCAACTTACGCCACAGGACCCATGCCCTCGTAGAACTGGTACTCGGCTTTGTCCGTGGAAATAATTGTCCAACAGGCACCATCATTGATCATCTCCTTGTTTGGCTCCTTGGGACAAGGCGTGGCCTGAAATTGGATAATCTTCTCTTGCGACAAGCACAAATACATGCGATCCGTGTCCTTCATGTAGAACGCACATTTGTGCAGCTGGGAGACAGGATCATCGGCCTCCAGCAGCGCCATTTGCTTGTCCACCTTGCGTATAATGAGGCGCGGCAGGGCCATGCCTGTGACTGAGCATACCAGCTTGACTGTGGCACCGTAATGGATGTAGCCATCGCGCACCTGAAACTCCTCCGACTCGGACTCGTTGTCGTCGAGCAGATGTATCGTAAATGCCCCCCACTGGGTGGACGAGGCATGAAAGTGTCCATTCTCCACATGCAGATACCGAGTGGAGACGGTTTGCGAGCGCAGGCGATTGAAGAGGGCCACATTTGTGCCGCTGGCTATGCACAGGTCGGCGTTTTTTAGTGACTGCTTTTTCTTGGATGGCTTTGATATCACCTTGATCCGTTTCGAATTGAACACGCCGATGTCGTGGCCATTCCCGTAAAACATCTTCACCGACAGCATAAAGTGTTTGCGTTTGTCCGAGTCCGAAATGAAGAGGGTCTTGGCAGCACAGTACTGCTTTCCGTTGAGATCCAGCTGCTGCATGTCCTGGTCACTGCTCCCAATGCCAATGAAGGCGCACAGCTGAGCCCCCTGTTCACCCTCGCCCTGCTGCAGCATCTCCTCGTAGCGCCGTCGCCAGCCGCTGCCAAACAGATAGATGCAGGGCGGCGGGCAGAAGAAGCGCTTCTCATTGCCATAGGACTTCTGGGCCACCTGGAAAGACGCGAAAGATCGAAAAATTCAATTAGCACAAATTGTTACTCGCTCGGATTATCGGCAAATACTATCAAAACCGCAAGCTATGCAGCTTTGCTAATTGTCTGTAATTAATTTCGATTATTTTCATTGCGGCTCGGCTCGGGCTGGACTGAACCGAACCGGGCAACGGGGAACCGCACCGAGCGCGCTGCGTTGCTCAATTTGGATTCACTGGAGTGTGAAGGATTCCCATTTGGCAGCAGTCGTTGCCGTTTTAAGATCGCCACCACTAAAAAAGCGACCGCGACAATTTCATTCTCATTTTTTTCGCTTTTCGCCAAAACCGCAAAAATGTAACACTTTTAAGCTGGACAAACGAATCGGACACTTTGGCGCGGATGTTCGTGGAGGAGGTGACTCTGATTAGAATGGGAATATCAATTTAAAACCTACTTGAAGAACATTTCGGTACTTGAAGAAATATTTTAAAGGCTATCTAGTATAGTATAGAGTATAGAGTGGACTGGGAATTAAATGGGAATATTTCAAACAGATGTGAGAACAATCTTCAGGATAGCGTACGAATTCGCAAAGACCAGGAGCATTAAGGAACTGTTTGGATAGTTAAGTAATGTCGAAGATCATTCTATGGTCATCACAGTGTCTGAGAAATAAGATTTATCTTTGAATTGGTGGTTAGTATCTATCAGAAATTCAATTCAAACCGAAATATGACACAAATTACACACATTTCCTGGCCTAAATTACCTTACATCTAAATTGTAAATGTTTTAGGTTTTCATCAGGATAAATATCCACATAAATTAGTGAAGTATTTCCTGGACATCATATCTATATCCTGTAAGAACATTGATAAAACAAACTACTCTTAGCTTTCTTCAATTGAATTGACGAACTTTAAGAACTCCACCAGCCACCTTTTTAACCTGAACCTACCAAAAGTGCCCCCATTTATACTTCCTAAAATCCCTTCGAGAGCCCTACCAAATGATCCCCAAAACCATGTCATATCGCACCTTGGCATGGAGTATCACGATGACCATATCGTTACGCTCCCTCATATACTTCTCCATGGCATCGCGCGTCAGCTTTTTTTCCTCGATGTGCGGCCGGTACGGACCCGGCAACATGGACAGTTGCATTTGTTGTTGCTGTTGTTGTTGTTGCTGCTGCTGATGGTGCACTTGCTGCTGCTGCGTCGGCGGCGGCTGAGGACCGCTGCCCAGTCCAAAGTGCGGCATGTCCTGACGCTGCTGCTGCTGATTGTGATCGAGGGGCGAATTGCTTGAACTTAGGGCTGCTGCTGCGGCTGCGTTCTCGTAGGCAATGGCGGGCGGGGCAACGGCGTTCAAACTAAATTGGTTGTAGCTCTTCATTTATGCACATGTCTTCTGCATAGAATTCTATGAAATTTAATGGTTGCTTGCTTTTGGTTAGCTCTTTTTGTTTTATTTTTTTGGCAAATTCGTTTATAGTTTTGGCACTTTATGTGTAATATTTGTTGTTGTTGTATGTTTTGTATTTGTTATCCTGCACCAACACACACGGCCAGCAGCTGTCGTTTCTCTCACGCACTCTCTCTCTCTCTTCGTCTTGGTCGGATTCGCTGATGGAGACTTGATTTTTGTACTGGACACCGTAATCACATATTTCTATTTTGAAAACCACCTGACTCTAGCGACTAGCGGTTGCAGCGGCTGCCTTCTGTTTAATGCTGTAACTAGCGCTTGAGTTATATTTATAATCAATTTATAAAAAAGCGACTTGTGAGCAATGTATCGATACATCGAAGGTTTGTTATTTACGATAGTTGACACCTACCGGCGATATCTTCACCGCTTAATAACACTTAAAATTAGAGGTGGGCATGGACCGAGTTTTCTTTGCGTCACGTCGTGACATGTCACACTCTAACCGTTTGGAGTCTAAACTTTAGACGCATGAGAGGACCGTATAGACAGACTAGAGGATTTTTCTGACCATTATATGAAAAATTGATATACAACGAGAAGGGACGCTTCTTACGAGTTACATCTTTTATACCCGGTACTCAGTACTAACTCTGTACTTAAGCGGTTTTTATTTTTTCAAATTTTACATTTTTTCTTCATCTGTCTTTTACATCTAGATCACTTCGCACTACACACTACACGCACAATGTGAGAATGTGCAATAATTAAAAAAGTCTGCTGGACGGGGTGGGCGCAGCCACTGAAAATTAATTTCTTCAGTTCTTCTTAGTCCTTCCCAACGGAATGGCCTTTTCTCTTATCTTCAATATTGTGGCTGTGGGCGACTTTCGCCCTTTGTGATGACTCTTGTAACAGTGTTAGCATACAGAAATCTGGATGCAACATTTGTTGGCTCTAGCTTCTATAGTTTCTGAGATCCAGGCGCTCAACAAGACGGACAGACGGGCGGACAGACAGACATGGCTCTATCGACTCGGCTATTGATGCTGATCAAGAATATATGAATATACTTTATGGGATCGGAAACGTTTGCTACTGTGCGTACATACATTCCCCGTAATTCCCAACAAATAAAAAATACCCTATTTACTCTTCTAGTACCGGGTATACAAAAACACAAGGTCATAAATAGACTATTAATGAATCGCGCCTATGATAACATTTTGCACAAAATCAAAGCCGGAAACACCAACATATGCGAAGTTTGCAACGTTCTTGACAATGTGGGACACGAAATCTTCGCCTGCCAACGACATGCTATTACCAGGAAAAAAAAAAAAATGTTCCATCGTTTTAAAGACCTTAAGGAGTTATTACTCACATAAAAGCCTATTTTTTAGAGAATTGGCCAAATTAATTAATGCACACTGGATTACTTCAAGTCGGGTTAACTCGGGCAAGAGGAGGAACCTTCTGTAGCAGGTTATTTGTTCTAAGGACTGTATCTTTTGAATAAGCGCGCGAAGATATCGTCCACGACACCGATACATCGAGTGGAGATACCAATAGATTAAAGTCGATCACTAAGAACTATCGATAAGCGGGTAATCGTGATTGCGCGAAGAAGAAGGGACTTCGATTGTAATCATCATGCGGACCGGTCGTATGCAAAAAGAGATAATAAAATAAAGAAAACAATTGAATGAGAATCCGAGTGTGTGCCTATTTGTTGATTGGCCAGGCGCCTCCTACACTTTGTTGTTCCTACTTTCTGGGGCAGCCTTCTGTTGCCTTTGCACCTACACCTACACTTACACATCAATCCATTAAATTAAATCTCACTTCCATACAATTTGTTAAACCTTTACACACGACCAAACTTTCTAACCAAGCATCATAACATTGTTATACCCGGTACTCGAAGAGTAAATAGGGTATATTGTATTTGTTTAAATAACGGTTGTATGTAATAACGCACAGAAGGAAACGATTCCGACCCCATAAAGTATATATATTCTTGATCAGCATCAATAGCCGAGTCGATAGAGCCATGTCTGTCTGTCCGTCTGTTCGTCCGTCCGTCTTGTTTTTGGTGGTTGGAAAAAATAAATATACCAATAAAAGTTGTTATTTTATTTGAATGCTGTAATTGTTTTAAATTCAGATTTTATACTGCTTTATTCAAAATTGTATGCATATTATTTAAACGCCGTCGCTTCTCGACTTCGTTGCTGCAGTATTATCAACATTGTTACCAAATCCATCTTTTACAGACAAATCTTTTCAGATAAATATAAAAACATATATGTATATAGGACATACATATTTATGAACATACATCTTTTCAATTGCTGTTCTCGTCGTCGAGTATGTTCTCGACTTCATGTGCGCTTTAATTGTTAGCGATTGAAACCTTTTGCATTTTTTTTTATTCTGAGCTCACATACCATTCAAATGAATACCCTCAAGAATTTATGAAGAAGCTTGCCCCTCAAAATCAAAATACATTTAATTTGTGTGACCTTTATATGCTTTATATAATTTAGGATGAAAGGGGTAACGGATATAGCCATGAATATGTATACAAATAATGAATTACTGCAATTGACTTTGCGTTGCAAATATTTTCCATTAGAGTATTCAGAGTCACGGTGTGAACAAGCATGGAGTATTGACGGAAGCAAGGCGGCTGCCTTGCACATTTACACACACATTGACACTTGCACATTTTCCTCCGACTCCCATCGGCAAATCGAGATTTGTAGTTCAGAAAGTCAGCGCACCAACACATACATTACTTGAAGTGCCCGTGAGAATCAAGACAAAACCGGTTTGGAGCGCTAAAAAATCATTGGCTACACCCACTTATGCAAATGAAGCTGGGACTTCTGGCTGCGTGCTTTACACCTGCAGTGTTGCCAACTCTTCGTGCATTGATGGAAGCTAAGAAACACGCTAAGGTATTGAAACGTTGTTTTAAGAGCAGAATCTCGCAAATTAGAACCACTTTGTTCCTGGGGTGATTCTAATTTCTGAAAAGTTATAATTTATGCACATTTTTTTTAATAGAATATGCTAAATAACCCAATAACAATTTAATTTGATTTGTTGCATTCGGAGGAAATCGATCGGCAAAATACTGGATTTTGCAGTATTTTTTGTTTGTGGTTGGCATTTGATATTAGAAGGGGCAAGCCGATAAACGGTGCCCTAGAGCGAGAGAAGGGGAAAATAGAAGCGAGGCTCGAAAACATTGCGGGATCCACGAGCCAGCTCACCCACACCCTCAAAAATGCCATGCTATGCCCTTGAACTTGGTTCAAGGGCAATAGAAGAGATGAGATCAGCTGCAGCAAGAGGGACTGCGTAGAGCAGCTACGCTGAACATGCCGGCAGTGGAAAAATAAACATCGGCAGTGTTAGAGTGTTTAGTGTGTGTGACCGTTTAGAAAAAATTCGGGAAAAAGGAAACAAACAGACCGGCCAATCTAGAGGACCTTTTTACCCGAATCTAAATAAAAAGTGAGTCCAGTCCAAAGAAAAAATGAATCCCAGATTCAATATTTTTAAAACCCATAGGGCATAAGTTGTATCGGCTGGTCTCCCGTAGATGGGCCAAAATTACCATTCGCCGCGGAATCCTGGTCACACCCCTGCCCGGGCGTGAGCCCGCCACGCCGCCACCGACAATAAAATAATTAATTCATGCATACATAAACGCATACATAAATAATTAATACATGCATATATAAATACATAAATAATATCTATCTATATTAATTAATATTTAATTAATTAGCCGCCCCCATATATAATTACCGACCATATTAATGTAACATAAATGTAATAATAATTAATTAATTAATTTATAATAAAACTGTATAGAATTTTATTCATAAACATATTCTCTTGTTTAACATTAACATTTTAGTCTGTCATTTGACCTTCTTCAGTCATCAACTGACAGCTAACATACATTTTAAAAGCGTATCAAAAGTTTACACGCAGTGAATAGCTCGGGGACTCCCAATTGTATTTTTACTTCAACCGAAATTAGAAACACACGTTCTAATTTCACAGTCGCCAGTGCAGTATCCTGTATGGTACTTGTCAATGTCATCTTCGTGCGACCATCCCTGATCCCTGATAAATAATATATATATATATATATGTAAAGCTTAGCTGCGAAAATCCGAAGAGCCGAATACGTTAGCCGTTACGTGAAATCGGCTTTTATTGCCCGGATCAAATGCTTTCGCCTGAGCGAATATTCTCTGAAGAGACTTGAATGAATATAAACTTTAGAACTAGAATTACGAACAATAATGTATCTAATCCATGGTCTATTAAACAAACAAAAAATATTTTTCGGTATATTTTCGAGGCCCTGCCGGTATATTTTATCGATAATTATAGCGGTCACGCCACTAGCGATTATATACAAAAAAAAAAATACAAATAAAATAAAATCATTCTAGAAAAATGGAACAATTTAAGGGTCTGAAAAAATCTCTATACATTTGGACTGAAAGCGACGATCTGGACAAGCGTGTGGAGCTGCTGAAAGACGCCACCGAGGGCGAGGTGGCTGTGGAAAATGTGCATCGCCTTTCTTTTTGTAAGTTTCATGTGAAATTGGCCCTTCGCTTCGCAAATTCATTAGCGACCGGCATTCAATTTCAGCCTCCTACGCCAACTCCAGCTTCGACCTGATTGTCATTGAGTGCGCCCAGCTCACCGACAATTACGTAAAGCTGCTGCACATGCTGAAGCCCAGCGGAAAACTCCATTTGTTTTCGTTCATTGGCACTGTCGCCAGCTTAATGCAGGAAATCAAACTCTCTGGTTTCATCAACTGCAGCGAGGGTCCCGATGCTCTGACAGCAGAGAAGCCCGGTTACGAAACTGGCTCCTCGGCCCGCCTCTCGTTTGCCAAAAAGAACGCCAGCGCTCTGAATGTGTGGAAAATCAGCGGCGACGATGAGGAGCTGATCGATGAGGAAGAACTGCTGGATGAGGAGGACAAACTGAAGCCAGATCCGGCTGTTCTAAAAGTCTGCAGCACCACGGGCAAGCGCAAGGCCTGCAAGAATTGCTCCTGCGGCCTTGCCGATGAGCTTGAGAGGGAGAAGAAAGCCACAACGGCCACTGAAAATATCAAATCCAGCTGCGGAAGTGTATGTTAGGACAAAAAGATTACTATTGCATTTCGAATAATTATGATCTGTGTTTTTGCAGTGCTACCTGGGCGACGCTTTTCGCTGTTCCACCTGCCCCTACCTAGGCATGCCTGCCTTCAAGCCGGGCGAGAAGGTGCAGCTGGCTAATAATCTGCTGAAGTCGGACATTTAACTTAAGGGACCCCCCACAGCGCACAGTCAATCACATTGAGAATAGTTTATTAAGCTGACTTACTAACCAACAATTAATGCCTTATGAAAATACAAAAATTAATCGCGGCTCAAATCACACAACGAATGCCTGTAGGGTGCTGCTTACATTTCGCACGGTGAACCCTTGATGAGATCGCGATTGTTTCCCATCAATATTCGGTAGTTAATGGCTGAAGGATCCAGCTCCTTGTACAAATACGTGGGCATCCTGTCGGACAGCACCCAGATGGTGCCCTCGCTATCGATCTTCATGTCGTTAGGAAAGACCAAGGTATGTGAATCGGAGTCAATGAGACCTTGAGTGTCGGGCGTGTAGGGACGCTTGATGTTCCAGCAGGCGATGGCATCCTTGTTCACTTGCGTGTAGAAAATGACGCCCGTTTCCGGATCGAAGACCTCGGCGGTCGACTGGCCATTCATGCCGCGATCTCCCACATATTTAAAGTCATAGTAGGAATCGCCACCCGTGACGTGTGATTCGTTTTGCAACACACGATTGGACACCTTGAACTCTTTGGTGCTGGCCAAAGCATGGAAGTAGATGTCCTTGGAGTGATCCGGATTCATGGGACCCACGGCCAGGCCAAATACTCCATCCGTCCACTGGAAGTTGACGCCGCCGACATTGAAGTCGCCCTGTAGTGGATCAAAGTGGAAGAAGTTGTGCTTGACACGATAGGACTTGTCTTTTCGCAGCGAGTACACAATCACACCATAGGCACCCAAGTCGGGCACATAGGCAAACGCATCCTGGCACTCTGAACGATCAGCATCCACAACCTGCAATTGGATAAATGGAATACCCTCCTTAGTATAAGAAAATCACGTTTTCATGTCATCATTACTCACGATATTGGCAAAGAACGAATCCTCCTTGGACTGATCAGCGGGAATGGTGAAACGACGCAGCAGTGTATCAGTCTTGAGATCAAACACCAGAATGGAGTTTGGTGTAATCTGCTTGGGGCTGCCCAGAATATCAGCCAGACCAGTGTCCAACACCCACAGACGATCGCAGACATCTACCTGAATGCGGAATGTGGAAATGATGGTGGCATTGTCCTTCAACTGAATGCCAGCATCCTGCGCCTTGTCAGCATCCAAACGTCCACCCGAGGGCGTCTTCTGATCCTGCGGCTTGACATCGATGGGCAATGTGTTGGCCTCCCAGCTGGGATAGGGATGTAACTTTGGCGACTTCTCAGTCGATGTGAGATCAATGTAGTTGAGGGTGGCAGCAACACCGGCCTTCCATCTGTATGGGAAAGAAGGAAATTCAAATTATAAAATGTTTTATAGATTGAGAACTAGACAAATTTACTCAACGGAAGCTGGAAAGTATTTCTAAGCGAAGGTTGTAAGTTTTTTATAGCGATACCTGGCAAAGCTATAGAAATTTTTCTCTCTCTTTATATTTACAATCTGTTTTTTTAAACAATAAGTAAATTGTATAATTAATATTCAATTAACAGAAATAGCAGTTTTCCAATGAGCCCTGCTATTATATATCACATCTTTTCAGTTTGTTGGATTTAAAGCTACAGAAATAAATTGAAAAACCTTTGTGATAAGAAATCTCACAAATTTTTTCTTGTTTATAATCATATCTGAGAATTTATCTCAAAATTGTTTGTCATCCAACTTTTAATTCTTGTTTTTATTAAACAAACAAAAATTTGTTTATCTCATTTGGACTCTTTTTTATACCCGGTACTCGAAGAGTAAATAGGGTATACTTATTGTATTTGTGGGGAATAACGGTTGTATGTAACGTACAGAAGGAAACGTTTCCGACCCCATAATGTATATATATTCTTGATCAGAATCAATAGCCGAGTCGATTGAGCCATGTCTGTCTGCCCGCCTGTCCGTCCGTCCGTCTTTTTTGTCGGCTAGTTCTCAGAGACTATAAAAGCTAGAGCCACCATTTTTTTTTCTCAGGACTGCTGTATGCTCACACTGAAACCACTGTATTTAAAAATTAGCCCCGCCCCCTTCCGCCCCCGCAAAAGGCGGCGAGTCTGCAGTGTGTGGGTCTAGGGAAGGGCGGCGAGCGAACGGAGTGGTGTTGGTGTAAGAAGTGTTGTAGATGTAGATGACAGGTGAAGAAAAAATTTAAAATTTGACAGAACACCGCTAAGGTGCAGATGTAGTACTGAGTGCCGGGTAGAAAAGTTGTGACACGTAAGAAGCGTCTCACACGTCCCTTCTCGTTTTTTTAAAGGCAAACCCCCCAATAGAGCTGACGTCACGTACCGTCTGATCTTATTGACCTTTTTCTATGAAAAGGTTCTAATTAAATCCGGTCAAGTGCTTAAATGTTTTCTCTTATTAATTATATATAAATTTCACGTGAGCATTTGCATTTAGAAACTAACATTTAAAATGCAAAATAGTTTTTTACACAAAGGAAAATTTACGTAGAAAAGTTACCCTAGCCAAGAGGGGGAAACAGGTTTACATTGTAGAGCTAGTCGGTCAGTGAGTTTGCAAGTCTAGACTGACATTTAATTAACCAACCGAAAAAAACCTAACATCGACTGCAAGAGGTTTTCACATATTGGGTTTTGGTCTGTTGAACACTACATAAAATAAATACGTGTATGGTGATAATGGTAAATTACCTTGGCACAGTGACAAAGATTCTGTTTTGCCAACGCTCCACGCCCAGCGGCAGGTTATTGTCCTCGATGTAGTGTCCGTTTGCTTTGGCCTCCTCCTCGGCCTTTGTGCTGGGCCAGTCGAAGGCCAGCTGCTTCCACGAGAATTTCTCTTCCAGCTTCGCCATCGCACTCCAGCTCCAGCAGCTTATCAGGCACAACAATAGCCCCACGCTCACCATTCGTATGGTATACATATTTTTTGTACTGTTTGTTCGAAGTACTGTCGTTTCGGTCCGATCTTCGCTTTTATAACCGTTCGATGCGAGCTTTGTGCGCAGAGTGCAAGATCATTGCTGGAAGAGCAGCGTAATATGCTTACAGCCAAGCTTAAAGCTCAGCTCAGGTGAGTGTTATAATCTATTTGAACTGTTATACCAAAAAGCTGTGGGAAGATCGGTTTCGCTGCTGAGTGGATGTTTTAAATTAGCAACATAAGCGGAAGGAAAAAAATGCGTTGCGATGCGGGTGTGCATCTCTCACTTGGTAATATTTTATAAATACCTTTCGGGATGCAGTCTGTCTGCTCATCTGTATTAAAATCATAAGAGCAGTGAACCCATAAGATCGAGTGGCGCAGACATTACGGATCGTTGGTTTTTAGTTTGAAAGTCGGCCGCACAATTTGTATAACGGAAAATGTAATGAATTTGATCTCATATCAGACTTGAGTGTTTTTCTACCTTTATATTTGCATTTATTCAATGATTTGCTCACCTAATTCAATTAAAATGAATTCCCCCAGCAACACGTTTCCAATATTAATAATTCAAATACATATTTTTGTATTCAGATATGCAGAAAGGTCAAAGACCTCCCAAAGCCACACAAATTATCCAGTTATTTTTAAAATACAGTTTTTGTGTTTTGTTTTTTATTATGTAAAATTCTCATTTATTTCCATTTTTATTAAACTTTAAGTTAATTCGTCAATGTTACTTTCATAAGAACATACCGAGTTTTTCTTGCATTAAAGGTTCTTTTTATTTTCTTTGGGGCTTCCTCTTTATATTGCTATGTTTTTCTTTGATTTTTTGGGGTGTGTGTTGTTTTCATGGGGAAATAAATCTGGTTTTATTTACTTTTCGTTTTGCCTTTGGTTTATTCTACATATGTATTGTATTGATTTTATACAACAATTAGCCTGGCTAAAGTTTGTCTTATTTTACTAAAAGTTCTTCATTCGGTTGTGATCTGTGAATAATGGTTTTTTAACGGATGCCAAACTTGAAAATCAAATTGAAGTATATTTGGTTACACATTAGAATTTTTATTTGCTTTGGGGGCTTGTTTTGTGGAATTGTGTGGAGAGGAGTCGCAGCTAAATGTTCTATATACAATATACACATACATACATACATACATACATACATACATGATTTCTACCCTAATAGCGTTCCCTAAATTTATACCGAAATACAATTCAATCAAATTTAAACTGCAGGTTCCAACAATCCTTAACAAATATCAATGTACTATAAGATGTTTTTTTGCCATGTGTAAATTTCATATATATGTATATATATAACTACATACATACATATATCTTTATTTATTGTTATGTATATAATCATCGTTGATTTATCGTGACTATCGTATTTTTTGTTTTGTTATGATTTACTTGATTTTCCCTTTCATTTTAACGGCTTAGATTTTAAAGTCTTTCATTTCGTAGGAATTTTATGTTTTCTATGCGTTTTTTCTTATAGCACTTTTTTGGAATGGATTTGCTTCTTATTTCAATTTAATTTTCTGTGTTTTGCGAATTCTTGAATGTGTCACTGAATTATAAAAGGGTTCTAATTTGATCATATATATCGAGTGATAGACAGAGAGAGAATGTGTGGTGTGAGAGAGTCATTTCATAATTTTTCTCAGTAGGTTTCAGTTTTCTGTTTGGTTTTTATTTTAGTTTAAGTAAAGTCAATTCCTTTATAACGACACGCTCATTTATGTTCCTTGGTATTCCTTCATTTCCTGTGTATAATATATATATTTTATAAATGCAATTTTAGAACTTACAGAATGTTCAAAAATTTCTCATTAACATTTATTTTATTTGCTCATTCGCTTGAGTATGAATAACCGTACATAAAAATTAAAACGTTGCTTGAGCCTTGTGACCTTGACCCATCCCATAATATAATATTAACTTTTGAGGCTACACTAGACTATGCTATATATTTATATAATATATATCTTCTTTTAATATCTAAGGTTGCTAAACTTTTCCATTCGATTTGTGCTATTTACGATTCGCTGAAATTTAAACTATTAAAACTTGATCTTGAGTGCGATTATACACAACATACGGACATACATACGCATTTGGATCTATACAAAATGCCTAAAGCTAACTTATCTATAAAGAACCAAGACCCAAAATAGATCTCTGGGCTTGGTTACTGGAGTC